TCAAACCTGTGTTGTTTTAGGGTCAACTGTATTTTCAAGGCATGGAAAGAAACATGATTTGCTAATGAACTGGTTTGTTGGTTAAAGATGATTCTACAGTCACTGATATGAGCAACTAGAATAAGTTTCCCTTTTAGAAAGAAATAGAGTAGATTGAAAGAGGAATGGTTTTTGGGAGAAGGGTCAATAGTTTTGCTTTCAATGTGTTAAGTGAAAGATGCCAACTAGTCATCAAGAGGAAATGTGAAACAGTTGGAATAAGAACACACCAGGAGTTTCTTATCCATTAGCTCACATAGGTTTCACAATGCTGCCACATTTCAAGGAGGACACTGAGAAACAGAGATTCAGATAAATAATAAGACTAATGCAAGTTCGAAACCCCCAGTTGATGCTGAAAGTAGAACTCAAGTCCATGACACTATTGCCACTATATCAAGAAACACTTAAGATAAAATATTTGTGTATATTAAGACAGTTATGATCAATTTAGTCTTGCTTTTCATGTATTATTTTATCTGAAGGAAGGGTCATTAATTGTGATTCAAGCTGGTAACTTCACATTTGCTCCCAGGAGGTAATGATTACTCATTAATACCCTAGCCCAGTTGTTCTCAAATTTTAGAAAACATAAGAATCACTTGGACCCATATTAAAAATAAAATTCCAGTGTCTCTTTTTCAACTTGTTGCTTTCATCTACAAGTGTATTTTTTTTTCTTTCTGACAGAAATCTATTCATCCAGTCCAAAACATCACTAGTTAGAATCTGGGTATTTTGAGGGTCACAATTACCTAAATATTCAACAATTTCCGCCTTTATCATGGCATCTGCCAGCCAAAGATATTCCAACTCATATTTGGGTAATTGAAGTCAATATCCAGTTATTCAGGTCCTTACTTTATTGATCAAGATGGTTGCAATTCAATGCTTCTGTTTGGGAACTCACAATCTTTCTGAGGATATGTCTCTCAGATTATTAGAAAGGATCAAAAGATACTTCAAGTGATATATGCACCCCTATGTTTATTGTAGCATTATTTACAATAGCCAAGATATGGAAGCAACCTGTGTCCATTGACAGATGAATGGAGAAGCTTCTTGCTTGGGGCAGAGCAGGTAAGGCACGCCTCTACCTCTGCCCCAATAGAAACTGTTCATAACTTTTACTCTAGGTTATTGCTCTGGGCAAATCAGAGGCCCCCGACCAGATATGCATCTTCCCTTGTTCTTGCAGATGGTTGGAAATTGCCCAGATGTTCCTGGTCCTGATGTTCAAGTGTCCCACATGTCCAATCTTAAGAGGAAAACCTAGGAAAGGGTGAGGTGAATTGTCTAGAGTTTCTCAAGTGGCTCTCTATCAAAGCTCTCTTAAAGAAAAACCACGATTATCTCATTCTTCCAGTACTACTCACTAGGATATATAGTAACAATAGATGGTCATAGTAAACACATAGCTTAAATTAGAGAATACAGTTGTTAGTGGTTTTATATTTAGCATCATGGCAGCTTTCATCACCACCTTTTCCATAAATTGCCCCTGTAATACACCACCTACATTTCAAATCCTAGGGGCACCGGTGGTGTGGTTCCCAAGGGAGAGCTCGAATGTCATCAATTTTTGCCCATTGCCTAAGCAGCCTGAATGCTGACTGCAGAGTTTCACTGGTGGTCCCTTCTTGACATTAGGACATACTCTGTGACTTGCCAGGGTCACTAGAGGTATGATAAAATTGCATTTGTTCTGGCCCCTCCTCCCCTAGGAAGCAACATAGACCGTCTCAGTAAAGGGATATAGCATTTAATTGTTCTAAAATGGGACTCAAAGTATATAACCAATGTATACAATCTATAATGTCTGGGCATGTATACTTATGCCCTATGGTCTTGAACATGCAGCTGTGATTACCATTCCTCATTATATATAGTTCTGTGATTACTTTGTCCAATGATCTAATTGTAACCAAATCTTGGATAATTACTGGCTTTGTGCATCTCCACCCACAATCCATATGGCACCAAGTTGGGAAACTGTATATACTGTAAATGCATCACCCATACAGAAGACAGTGCAAAAGGAAGGATTTGGTGGAAAAGCCTATTAGACATCAGAAAATGCCACCTGTTCATTCATTCTTAGAAACTTTTAAGTCTATGGACTGGGCCACCTAAGATGAAAGACATTGTTTTTAGTCAGCCCACAATTCCTAACAAAGCAAAACTTGAGGAGGACCAAGAAGTCAGAAAAGGAGGTAGGTCATCACACATTTCTTTCCTACTGTAGTTTCATATAAAGCATTCACTTGCCTTAAAAGGAGGTCTGTACCTCATTCTACTTTGTCCTGTGCAAACATTAGTAGGAAGACTGTTGTGGTTCAGTAAGGAATATCTATATTGTCCTATCCTAGGTCAAATACTTGCACTATTAGTTACTTAGAGCCAGCTGACATAACACTTTCTTGGCACACAGCTAGGACAAGTGGTTCCACAAAGCCCCATCAGGCTAGAACATGTCTTAACACTAGGGTCAGGGGATTGTTTTTCCCCATGAAGCAAAAGCTAACCTGTGGCTACTCACAATTTGTCCCTAACACTTAGAGGTTTTCAGGAATGTATCCTCTGTAGCACTCCAGGAGGTTAATGCCTTGACAGAAATGTCTCCCAATGGAGAACAATACTCAGCAACTTCTTAGTACCCATAATCTTTTAACTTTTCCTACTGAATTTAAAAGCTGAATAATTAGGGTTGGGGATGTAGAGTATAGGTGTGGAATATTTTCTTTCTGTGCGTGTAAGAGATAAAAGGGCAAGCATCCAGCTCCTAGCACCTTTACCATCATATTTGACCACTTGAACTATTTCCTGGGTATAAATTGTCTGATTTTAAAAATAAAGTGGAGTCCTTTATGCCACTGTTTGGCAATCCAGTAAAAAATGACTTCTAGATATATATTACCAAAATTTACAGAGGGAGAAACCTAGAGTACAACCATTGAAGAAATAAAAATGTTGCTAAGGATACATCTCTCCCAATTCCTTCCTCCCCAAAAAAGGATCTAGCTATTACTTTCAGCCTTTAATGAGTAATTCCCACATTATGCAAACTCTTTCAGAAAATAAAAGAAAAATAAACTCCAAATACATTTTGAAAAGCCAGGAAAACCTCAGTAAATTCAACCTAGTTCTCTACTTTAAAAAAAAAAAAAAATCACCACAAACAAATGGATTTTACTCCAGGACTTCAAAGAAATTTCAATCATTTAGAAAGTTTAAAAAAAAAAAAAAAGTGATTTACAAAAATAAAGAACATGACCCATAAAATTATATCAACAGACTTTTTAAAAAACGATATAGAACTTAGCAACTCTAAGAATAGTAATTGCTATAGTGGGTACTAAGTGACAAGTACTGTTCTAAATGCCTAACACTGATTAACTGATTTTATCTCGAAAAACATAGCTTTACTTTGCAGATGGAAGAACTGACACACAAGGAAGCTGAGTAACTTGCCCAGGGCTACACACCTAGAAACGTGGAGGAGCCAGGGTTTGAATTAGGACACTAGGCACAAAATCAGTGTTCTTAACTACTGTACTATCTTCCTTTTTCTAAAAACAGAAATAGAGAGGCATCTGGTTGGCTCAGTCGATAGAGCATGCAACTCTCAATCCTGAGGTCATGAGTTCAAGCCCTACAATGCATGGAACCTACTTTAAAAAAAAAACAAATAAATAAATAACAGAAATAGAAGGAAACTTCCTAAACACAATAGAGTATCTATCAGAAACCAACAATGAAGTAACAGTGGTGAGATGTCCACAAATACACATAGAAAATATCAATGAGGACCCTGTATGTGATAGCCTACAATGAGATACCACTTCCATCTTTATTTTTATTTTTTAAAGATTTTATTTATTTATTTGACAGAGATCACAAGTAGGCAGAGAGGCAGGCAGAGAGGCAGGGAAGCAGGCTCCCCATTGAGCAGAGAGCCCAATACGGGGCTTGATCCCAGGACCCTGGGATCATGACCTGAGCCTAAGGCAGAGGCTTTAACCCACTGAGCCGCCCAGGCATTGCCCCACTTCCATCTTTAGAAGCCTCTAATCTGATTGGGGTGGGGAAGGGGATCTCATATCCAACATAAAGATGGTGCAACTTAGAGCAGAGTTTAAAAAATTTATTAAACAACTACTATATGAAAATTATCTATATGCTAAAAGAACAGATACCATACCTAGCCTTAAAAAACCTACAATAAGTTGATATGAAAGTATACAAATACACATTAAGTTCAGAATAACCGGCAAGATAATTTAACAACAGTCGTACATTGTAGCACCAACTAATTGGAAGCACTGAAGTCAAATGAACAGAAGTTTAAGAGGGAAGAAAAAGCATTTTAAGAAGGTCTTTCAGAAATGAGAGGGCTCTGGAAGAATCTAAGGGACATAAATTAGTCAAGAGGAAAAATAAAGGTTTTATACATAGGGAACACAAGTGATAAGGG